TACTGAAGTTCCCTTTATGTATTTCTTCAAACTGAAAGTATTTAACATATAATTAAGTGAGTGAAAGACTTACGGTGTCAATTACAACGTGTGGAATTCTCATCAACTTTTTGGAAAGTATGCTGTATGTCATTTGTAGACTTCAATCCAAAATATATGGAGAACCCTGCACTCTTAGCGATCCATTGGAACTTAACATCAAATAATGCACTTAAGGTACAGTATGAAGGAGCCACACCTTAGGTTGTATGCCAGAGAGAGACGTTTCCTACTTATTCAATAAGTATTGTTACTTAACCGATAAGCCTTTGAGTTACCAAAACAGTCTCTAGTGCAGGAAAAGAAGATACTTTTGTTGGATGGCTTGAGGCTAGCAGCTGGTATGACCTTTAACACTAGGTCTGAAGAGATGTGCGTCAATTTCTTCATAAATAGGTCTGAAATAAAAGAACAGGATAAACACCAAGTTATATTATGTTGTGTTCAACAAAGCAATGGCAGTAGGGAGGAGAGCTGGATTCTTAACACACTGCTAGCACAGAACTCTGGTTTTACTTCATGAGCCATAGTACCTGCCCTACCTTTAGGCCAGATGAGTCAACTGCATTTGATCTCCCCTACTGCATTTGATCTTCCAAAGTTTCTTTCCCCCCTCTCTTGTGCGAGAGAGATGCATGCTCTTGCCACCGGATTTGGTACCAGATACTCCTGTTATGTTTGGTTAGATTGTTATTGTGAGGCTCTTCTAGCTTACCTGAACGGCAACCATCTTCTAATAACTTTTCCACAGATCTACTCAACCTGATTTTGAGCAAGGAACCATATTTACAGTTCAGCTAAGCAGAATGAGATATAATATATCAAGAATAATGTCAACACTACTTTGTATGCCAATTTGAACATTCAAGCACCTCATACAGGGAAAAATGACTGGCTTATAGCCATCTAGAAGAATTCAGAGAAGCAAAATTTGTATGAAGTGTGTATATGCATTTGAGAACAGGATGAAAGCCACCATTAGTTACCTGGTTATCCAACCATATGTTCAGTGTGTGTAAATGAAAATGATTCTGTGCATCCAATTGTGCACTACACTGCTGACCTAAATAGGTGTAACCAATAGAATTTTGTAGACATCAGAAAGGCTTTGTGTAGGTTAGCCTATGATGCACTATAAAAGAGAAAGAAGTCCACAGCCTGGTTATTTTCAAAACCACTTACTCTGTTTTGTCGCTGGGAGCCAGTGGATCAAACTCCATGAGCTCGTAGTAATTGGGAGGTGGTGTGTGCCTTTTGGACCCATCTACAAGAGAAAGAAAGCCAGAGATGGCATAACTTTTGAAGCAGATAGCCCAAACTCTTGTTCTGCTAATCCAGCATGATACACTGTCCTGATTGCCGCCATCTTCTATAAGTCAAAATGACTGTAACCAATAATATGTACTACACTGAAGGAATAAAGCAGAACCATGGTTGAACTTAATGGCTGTATTGACATTGGTCTTCAGACCAATTTAACTAGTAGAAATGAGCCTCAAGTTACACAGAAATTATGTGTGGCAGGGGGAGTAAGACAACACCTTACCAGCCCCCACGCTATTCACACCTTTCTTGCCTACAAACTGGAGAAATGGGTTATAACATTTTGCAGAGTGCAAATAGAATCCAATAGGCTTAGACTTGAAATGTTCAGCAGATCTTATGGGAAGGTGCAAACTTGTGCTGCACACTAAACACAGCCTTTGTGAGCCTTGACATTCATCCCAATGGACCGCTATTTATTTATTTATTTACAATGTTTGTATGCTGCCTCTCCAGCCACCTGCTTGAGGAAACTAACAAAAGTAAAAATACAATAAAACGACTCCCCCAGCAATAAAACCATCCTAATTTAGAAGCTCACGAAATTAGCAGCTCATGAAAACTAAAAAAGCATCTCGACAGCTAAAACAATCTTCTTCTTTTTTTTGTATTTGTGTGTGTGCCTGGAAGTCATGGTTGACTTCTGGTGACCTCTAGTGGGGCTTGGACATTTCAGAGAGGTGGCTTCTGGCTTGCTGTTGCCTGCCTCGGCATCCCCAGCTCTGGTATTTCTTGGAGGCCTCTCTTCCAAGTACTTGCCAGGGTCGGCCCTGCTTAGCTTCCGAGATCTGATGGGCAATCCAAGTTAGGGCAAAACAATCAATCATTGAAGCATAAAAGCAGAGCCATAAAATCATCAAGCACATGAGGATCATAAAAACAAAAATAAACAACTATAATAATGGGCTACAACTTCAGATAAAAGTGTGAGTGGACAAAAATGATTTAGCCAGGTGCTCACATCTTAACAGGGTAGGCACCAGGTGGGCTTCAGGAGCTAGGGCATTATACATCCGGGGTGCCACCACTGAAAACCCAGTCTCTGGTCACCATCCATCTCACCATTGTGGATTGGGAACAAAGAGCAAGGTTTGGGATGGAAATTTTAACTTTTAACAAGACAAATGGGCAAATTGATTGAGAGGGCGGTGGCAGTACAGCTTCATGGTTTTCTGGATGACGCTTCTATTCTTGATCCCTTCCAGTCCGGCTTTCACCCAGGTCATGGGACGGAGACGGCGTTGGTCGCTCTTACTGACGACCTCCGTAGGCACCTGGATCGGGGCAGTTCGGCGGCGCTGCTGTTGTTAGATCTGTCGGCTGCGTTTGACATGGTCGACCACCAGCTGCTTGCCCACCGCCTCACCGAAGTGGGAATACAGGGACTTGCCTTACAGTGGCTTGTCTCTTTTCTCCAGGGTTGGGAACAAAGGGTGGTGCTTTGGGAACAGCAGTCCGGGAGACGCCCTCTAGAGTGAGGCGTACCCCAGGGTGCAATACTGTCCCCGATGCTATTTAACATCTTTATGCGCCCCCTTGCCCAGGTGGCTCGGAGGTATGGGCTGGGTTGTCATCAGTACGCTGATGACACCCAGCTCTATCTGATGTTGGGTGGCCAGTCAGATTCCAGACCGGAAGATCTGGACCGGGCATTACAGGCCGTGGCTGGTTGGCTTCGGCTGAGTCGGTTGAAGCTAAATCCGGCGAAGACGGAGGTCCTGTGCCTGAGCCGTGGCGGTTCAGGGCTGGGCGTCCTGCTCCCGGCCTTCGATGGGACACTACTTGTGCCAGCGCCGGAGGTTAGGAGTTTTGGGGTGCTCCTGGATGCCTCCCTGACAATGGAGACCCAGGTAAGCTGCAGCTAGTGCAGAACGCCGCAGCCAGGCTGCTGATGGGCTCTCCATGGTGTGAGCACATCCAGCCAGTGCTTAGGTCACTGCACTGGCTGCCTATAGCATACCGGATTCGTTTCAAGGTGCTGGTGCTTACCTTTAAAGCCCTACATGGCCAGGGACCGACCTACCTGAGGGACCGCCTTTCCCTGTATAGACCCCAGAGAGCACTACGGTCTGGGGCCCAACACCGATTGATTATTCCGGGCCCCAAGGATGCAAGGCTCACCAGTACTAGGACCAGAGCTTTTTCTGTGGTGGCTCCTTACTGGTGGAACGAGCTCCCGGAGGAGATCAGGGCCCTGCGGGACCTTTTACAGTTCCGCAGGGCCTGCAAGACGGAGCTCTTCCGCCAGGCCTTTCAATAGGAGCCGCCACTACTGTTACCATCATGATCCTAATGAATGCTTGGATCCTAGGTCTAGCACAGACATATCGCCAGGACCAGCGGCGCGAGGGATGATGATCAGAGATTGAGATCTGGAATGCACGCCATCTAATTTTCATTACTGTATGCACTTTATTGTTAATTGTTTATTTATGTGGTGAATTGAGTATGTCTTATGTGATTTTATAGTTTTAAGATTTTTATGGTATACTAATTAGGTACGTGGTACCGCTTGTTAGCCGCCCTGAGCCTGTTCACAGGATGGGCGGGGTATAAATATGATAAATAAATAAATAAATAATAAGACAGTCCCTTCAGGTACCCTGGTCTTCAAGCCATTTGGGACTTGAGAGGTGAGTACCAGCCCTTTGAATCATACTTTTGTAATGTTATCCAAGTTTTCTACTGACATTCGGAAAGGAGTGACAAAGTGACATCATGGCAAGCACTAGCTGCAAATGTTTATGCTGTTACCTGCTGCTGGTATATCTCTTGTCCCATTAATCTGAAGGCTTACTGGTTGGAGAGGCACAGGATTTAAAATGGAGTTTACCTAAGGAAATGAAGTTGAAAGGAATCAGGTGCGGAGGAAGATGGCATTTTCAAAACCGGTTTAACCTAACATGCTTGTTCATTCCTTACTATAGAGAGCAGACATGAATTAAAGCTTGCATTAATGCGGATAGAAGAACATTAACCCTTTTTATCGCTTATAACATAGTTCTCTGTATCAGTGGACTTCAGCCTCTAGGTCAGGATCTTCTGGTGGGCAACAAGTCCTTACTTGGCCACTATTTTTTCCAGTGCTGTCTGGAAAGACCTGCGGGTCATGCACATACACAGAAAATAAGGGCACCACGTCCCCTGTCTTTCTTTGGGCATACACTGGCAGGAGCAAAGGGAGGTCACTTGGCAGGGGAGAGGATTTCTTTGTAACACAGGCAGCCTCAAAGACTCCAGTGTCTCCTCGTACTCCTATCACACGACTCTTGTGTCATGTGCTTGCCACTTGGCAAGTCCACACTATTGCCTGGGGGTTTAAAGGTGGGGCCTGGATCTGCAGAGGTCAAAGATCATCGCTTCATATAGTCCAGCTAGAGACAGTGGCCAGGAATCCAAAGAACCACTTAGGCTCAACACAATGCCTAGCAGAAGTGAGGGTGGGGGTGACTTTAAGCAGCTCACCTCCACACCACATAGAACTTGCCAGCCTCAACGGTGTTGCTATGCAACAAACTTGGGGTGGTGGTGGAGGGGGGGGTTAGGAAAAAAATCCAAAGCCCTTGTGGGCTCATGAAGCACATTTCATATTTCTTTGGATACTGGCCAATGCACTGTTGAGGCTGACTGTGTGTAACCCTGGGAAATTTTGTGTTATGTCCACAGACTGCCACCAGGGGTCTGCAGCCTCAGTCCTTAGCTTGGTTCCAAACACAATAGGGACCAAGGATCCTAGACCACCCTGAGTCCTCCAATAGGACCTTGGAGGGAAATTCAAACCCTCCCATGGAACTGTGGGTGTGCGCGGGTGGAGTGTATATAGTTGGCCGTTGCCGGGCCGGTTTCTCTGTCTTGTTGTGAAGTACAATAAACACGTGTAGTTAGCATGTCGTAGTCCAAGTCTCCATGTGCGAACCCAGTACTTTACATCTTGTATTAAAAGGAAGATCCAAATACTTTCATTTATATGTTTTACATTTATTTACCACTATTCCCCACCACCAAGGGTCCTCTTCCCCTCAAACTCTACAAATTAAACAAGCCTACACGTATGAATAACATCAAAGATGGGAAGCCTTTGTCTAGAATAAACTCTGAACTGCCCTGGCCAGCTGTTCGTTGAAGATTCAAGGTGAATTCCGCAAGGCCACACCTAACAGTGCAATCCTCTGCAGAGTTACTCCAGTCTAAGCATATTGGCCCCAGTGATCTTAGCCCAGAGTAAATCTGCAGAGGACTGAGCTGTAACCCTCCCCTTAAATTGGCACTGACTGTTCTGTGAATTTCAACTGAATTTTTAAGTTCTCAATGGCCTCTCCTTTCGCCTGGCAAACAGTATTTTTCACATCGAGGCTAATATTTAATAAGGTCCTTATAGCAGGCATACAGTTGTAAATATCCCTCCCACAAAAAAAGAAAACTAATGCATTTAGTATTCTCAGTGGATCAGGATCTTGTATGCAATCTCTCGTACTGATTAACTTGCTCATTCTAGTATTTTTCACACACAAATTCTCTGAAGTCTTTAGACACCTTCACAAAGCAGTTTTAACAAAAACTGAAGTAGGCTGCAGTATGGGGTAGTGGTCTGAGTTTCAGACCAGGGTCTAGGGGACTGGAGTTCAAACCCTCACTTAGCCATGATGTTCACCAGGTGACCTTGGGCCACATCCTAACCCCCCTCACAAGGTGAGACTAAAGTAGGGAAGAGAGAATGATGTTATGCCACACAGAGCTCCTTGGAAGAATGGTGGGATAAAACGTAGTAGTCTTCCCCTTTGCCCCTAATCAGAATCTATGCCAGGCCCTTGCTATCTGATGTTTGCTAATGAATCAGGATCAAGAAATGATTTCCTACTCACGTTCTCATATTGGTTGGCAACTGGAAAGCTTTGACTTGTGCTCTGTGCTTCTGTCACGAACCTAGAAGGGAAAAGAGAATGCAGTGGAAGTAGGGATGCCAGCCTCCAGGTGGGAACTGGGGATCTCCCAGAGTTACAGCTCATTTCCAGACTACAGAGATCAGTTCCCCTGGAGAAAATGGATGCTTTGAAGGGTGGACTCTATGGCATTGCACCCCACTGAGGTCCCTGTCCTCGTCAGGCTCCATGTTTAAATCTCCAGGAGCTTTCCAACCTGGCAACCCTACGCGCCCATCCCTGGCAACCCTAACTAGAAGCCAACAAGGCTTAGTTGAAAGTCCTGCCTTCCACTTCAGATACCTCAGACTTGTCATCCTGCCTTCTGGTTCTCTTTAGTAGTCTCTCTTTCCTCCCTCCTTCATTTTCACACAGCCTCTACTGATTGTCTATAAACTGCCTCACGCTCTGTAATGATTTTCACCTTTGCTTATCAGCTCTTAAAATCCACCTCAACCTTTAGTTGGTGTGCAAATTACTACTTACGTGGTCTGTAGGGTATTTGCAGGAGGTAGTGGGTTGAGCTGAGGGTAAAGTGATGGTTGCATCAGGTGGGGGCTTGGAACAGCAACACTTGATGGCCTGCAGTCTTAACGGGAACAACAAAGACTATTGAGATGGCAATCTTTCTCACAGAACCAAGGGTTGGCCCCAAAGCTGCTCTTCCAACTAAAAGAAGGGAGAGGGCATTTTTTGCCATTCCCCTCTCTCCCATTGCAGACTGCCACCTCACCCTGCCCCCAGTGATGTTCATGGGGAATGAAGTGGGGATGAGGTGGGCCCAGTGGGCAGAGGGAGGCAGGGAAGTCCCATCACTTGAGCTTCACAGAATCTGGAGGCCCAAGAGAGCCAGAGCTTAACAGGAGCCTTAACATGGTGCCAGTACAGGATGCTGGTTTAGTATTAAGGACAAAGTAAATGTGGCAGGTATAATCATGTGTGTTATCGTGTATTAAAAGAGATGGGCAGGTGAGAGAGGATGAACTTTCCCTTTCTCCTCCATCTTCTTTCCTATTACCTTCTTCCCTTGCTCCGTTGCTTCCTTTGCTCCAGCCCCCATTCCATCCAGCCTGGCCCTGATTGACCCCAGCCACACTGGGAAGAAAGGTGTCTGAAGCACGATAGGAGGTACAGTGAGAAAAGCTGACCTATCATCATCTGTACACAATAATTTGGTCTTAAATCCTGAACTCCAGGCCTCCCTCCAAAGAACAGAACAGATATAGCTGCCACATCATGTAGTATGGTCCTTAGTAAAGAAATTTTGGGGAAATCGTGGGGAAGAAAAACAGGCAAGGAAAGGGGAAGTAATTTTTCTGCTGTTGCCCCCCTTTCAACCTCCCCACCATAGTCTCTCATAACCTGGATCTCTATTACACATGACACACATGACATTGCATGCACTGAAATCAACGCCCCATCCCTGTCTAGATATAATCACCAGTTCGTGAGCATGGAGTATATACACACAGGTATCATCCCTGTAACTGGGAGCACTGCTTTTTCTAACATTCCTGACCACTCGGATGGAGCCTAGCCACATACATTTCCTGCATATGTAGACACCATGCCCATGGGATATGGAGAAATAGCATGTAGCCGCTAAATGTGATAACTGCTTGGACTGAGTGATCTGAGAATGGGAAAATGGTCTGATATAGCTCACGGAGCAGAGTACAGGGATAAAAGATTTCCTTGTGAAGCCCCATTGGGCAATGTTTTGCCCTTGAAAGCCAGGTCCCCATGCTTGTGGGTACAGACAGTATTCCCAAGTCTATACACGAAGAAAGAACAGTGCCTTTGCACACAGCTGGGTGTAGCATATCACAGCTGCTAGCGGGATGCCCTTTCAGCCTTTGGTGGGGAGGAGATTCACAGCAAGATTCAAACACACACATCTGGGTACTTCCAAGAGCATTTTGCAAAAAAGAAGATTCCTTTTAAAAGCATTTGATGTTGATTATTTTCTTTTTTCTACCTATTTGCTATAGTTGTTATCAACACAGACCAAAGCAATTTATTCCTTTGGCATGCATCCCTAGTATAGAGGTGCCCTTTTTTTGTTTATAACATTCAGTGACTTGAGGAATAATCACACTCTTGAACAACAATCATGTATTGGCTGGAACACTCTTCCCACCTGCCCTCCTTAAACATTTCTCCTGGAATCTGGATCACAGCCAACACCTTTCTAGTACAGACATTAGTGGAATTCCTCTGATGTCTGAAATGCAGGTGAGAAGATAAACATTCTCCAGAAGCGTAAGGAATGCTACAGTATGCACCTTCTGTGCCTGATGTCAATTAAGTCTACCAGGTTAGAAACGTCCTGGTAAGGCATGGGAGAGTTGCAAATTCTTTACTCACTTAATTCTGAAAACGGAGAAGTCACAGGGTCAGCTCCCCCCGGCTTTGGCACTGTAGCTGGAAAACTTGACTCGAGGTCAAGCAAGTCAGATGAGGGAGCAGAGGGCTGGTTGCCATTGACCTTAAAATTAAACGAAGAGGTCAGAGGTCACGGCCAGTGTTGCCTCTACATGCAAATCAAACTTCCACTCTCCAACAAGCAATCACAACCAGATTCATGTTAGGTAATTGATAGTGATCTATAATTGATGCAGATCTTGGCAGCGGTAAAAGACCTAATAGGATCACCTGCTTGTTGCCTGCAGTCTGATAAGCACTCACTTTGAAATATATTTTCACAGGAGGGTTTCTCAGATCAAAGAGCAACCTGAGGAGCACTTTATTTTACATTGATTAGGAGTCTAGAAAAACAACTGTGCATGTCAAGATGTCGGGCTACTGACAGAAGAGAATAACAAAGAACTGCAAGACACGGTTTAAGTCAAAACAGAGGTTAATGGTTGCAATTTAAAGAAGGGGAAGCA